GCCCGTAAATGTTGCTCAGCTCGAAGAACGCATTCATAACCTCGACCTGGCCCCATATTCGTCAACTGCACCTTCAGCGACTGAGAACTCTAGTTTTGATTATGATTATGGTGCTGGTGGCTGTGGCAGGGGCAAATTTGTCAGAGATTCTGCTTAAATTGCCATCTCGGTACCAATTCCCAACAGTAGGTCGTTCTACAGCCACCTGTTTGTCTGATCACTCGACTGAAACGACTCCCATATCCCACCCACTAATCTTGTTATATTGGCAGACTTCACTCCGGACGCTAAACCGATCAATCATTTGCGCAAACGAAAGTGGTCCGGTAATCTTCACCAGAGCGTCGTTCCGGCCCTGCACGACAGAAGGAGAAGAATGTAACAGTTATTCGCGTGGACGATCCTAAGTGAATTTTTTGCCAGAAAGATTATTTACTTCTCATGGCTGGCCATAATACCTATGAGATTGGCGAATCCATCACAGCTGCGTCATGCGTCAGTTTAAAAATGGCGAAGCATATATCCCGGTATTTGGCCGATAGTCCTCTTGGCATTAGATAAAACAGTATTTTAACAGTAGATTTCATCTCTCATTAAATGCCAACCGAAATTCTGAAATGCGTTTACAATTCGAAGAAATCCTTTAATTAGTATTTTGACACTGTTTATCGTGATTATACGTGCAGTAGGCTGGGAAAGCAAATCGACCCAAGTGTGATTGAATGCAAAGCTTCGGCGTGCCTTCGTAGCTCACTTGGTAGGGCGTTGGCCGTACGAAGGCCTTTCCTGCTGATGGGAGTTGGAATTCCACCGAGAACACGCATTTTTCACAATTGGGTCAATCGAATTATTCAAATCTGCTAAATCCATAGTAGTCTTGTCTAAAAATATTTCAATCTCGGCAGGATGCCGTCCTTTGAACTACTTTCTTTCTATCCACCCGTAGAAAAAACATGCTCTGTAAAAAAATTTCTACTTGAGTAATATGTATTTCCAAATTGACTTTTGATGCCTATACATATTCAAGTATATTTTGTAGAAAAATGTACAAAAGTAATATTTCTTGCGCTCATTTAGTAGGAAATAACGTATTATTCCAATTGTATTCCTGAAGATAGGTTATCTTTCAGTCTTATGAAACCTTCTAAACTGCCGAATACTTTTGAACCCTAGCGGACTTTATACTTGTATTCAAGGTTTCAGGCCCATATGCCGCATACATTCTGTGCAAGGAAAATCACGTATTTGTCTACGCTATGGACAAATTGTTGCATGGCCCTCACAAGTTTTTGCAATTACTATGGATTATGTTGTATACAGGGTGTCCCAAAAAATGTATACACATTTTACCGATTTGTAAAATTGGTGCTTATCATAATTTTTCGGAGGGTTGACAGATTTGCTTGATTTGAGTTGAACGAATTATGAAAAAACTCGAGGCGTTCGGTGGGATTTGAACCCGCATATTGGGGAAGGCCTTTACCGGAAGCCAACGCTCTAACCGCTAAGCTACAAACGCCCTGCCTCAGAATTGTATTATCAAATAAATGAAAAGATATTTACAAATACCATTTTATTGTTTTTGTCACTGAATGTTCTCAAACTGATGTCCATTTTGATCATGACACTGCTGACAACGCGAAACAATGGAAT